CCTGCAGAGGATGAGGGAGCCTGCAGAGGATGAGGGAGCCTGCAGAGGATGAGGGAGCCTGCAGAGGATGAGGAGGGAGCCTGCAGAGGATGAGGAGGGAGCCTGCAGAGGATGAGGAGGGAGCCTGCAGAGGATGAGGGAGCCTGCAGAGGATGAGGAAACCTGCAGAGGATGAGGGAGCCTGCAGAAGATGAGGGAATCTGTCTGCTAGACCAGTGACATGGATACTTTATTATTTCTTCCTAGAAGGTAGAAATGTACCCACCCCACCCCCCCACGCCAGATTACAGGGCTTGTGTTGTATGGAAAGCCAGAAGGCAGAGGACTGGAAAGAGCTGCTTTCCACAGGCAGAGGCTGGAGCAGGCATATCCGGTCTTCACATGGCTGATGTAGAGGTTCAGAGCCCAGGAATCTCACCACAGATGGACAGCCCCATGAAGGACATAAACTGGAGTTCAGAACAGGAGTCTGGGTCCATCGCCAGGGCAGTACCTTCAAGAGGAAAGAACTGCACTTTAGAGATAAGGTCAGAGTCAACAGGTACACCGGCACCTGCATTGGATAAACACTCAGGTCAGTGCAAGCCCGCCCTGGCCCCTCTCTCCAGCCTCTGCAGTAATCACTCTTTCTTTTTCACTCTTCCTTTATTATGTGTTTTAAGCCCTAGCCCGGCATGTTCTGTTTCTCTCCTGGACCCTCGTGTTTTAGAGAACTGTGGCTTGTGGGGAAACTTAGACCAAAGTATAAGAGAGTGGCAGCAGCCATGTTGCTGACTTCACAGGGACACATGGGCAGATCTTGGAGTCTTAGCCCTGCTAGCTAGGCTCTTCAGGTCACTGATCCCTTTCACACCCCCAGCAGGACTACCAGCCATCAGCTTCTATCCTCTATCCTACCCTACCCCCTACCCTACCCTACCCCATCCCATCCCATCCTATTCTCTTCAGTGTCATCTCTAACCATTAGGTTACAGGTACCTTGAGAAAGAGTAGGACCAAGGACTCCAAAGTCATAGGTCTTCCCCTATGGTGGGCATGGGTCAGGGCAGGATGTCCATTAGCCATCAAATCCTTGAGGAGATGACTGGCTTTGGCCTTCTGATGAGGCTATGGCTATTTCCCTTCCCCATGAGCCCCGTAAGGAATTCCCTGTTCCCGCAAGGGAAATGCATCCCAGACCACGCCGACTTTCTTTCACTGGAGAAGCAATGGGATCGGCTGTCGTTACAGCTTGCTGATAGGTCCTGAGACTCCTCCTGCACCTTTCGATGTATGCACCTCCTCTTTTTGCTTTTTGAACACACCTTCTTTTTGCTGTTGGGCAAAGTAAGTGGGAACCGCTCTGCACAGGTCCTTGACAGGCACTCCGTATTGGGCCAAGTTTTTGACTCGACTGGGTAAAACCGTGTAGGTCAGTCCGCGGGTGGGTGGGTAGTGACCGGAAGCCTGGAAGAGGGGGTGTCTCAGATATAACATATCCAAGAAGGGGTCCACAGGCAAGTTGTGAAGGTGCGTGGGACTCAGTTAACAGTGCCCTCTGCGAACCCAGACTTGCTTTCCAGGTGTCTCTAGATGCAATATTTTATCAGGCCACAAGAGGGCGAAAGCGACTCTGGCAAAATCTATGTGTCCCAGTGGCGTTTCCTATCAGCCTTAGGTGCTTTCTGAACCAGAACGATAACACAGAGTAGTTTAAAACATTTGTTGCATTTGTATTTTGTCAAATTAGGTGAACGGGACACATTCAACTTCTCTTTTAAAGATTTATATATTTTAATTTTATGTGTATGAGTGTTTAACTAAAGTTACAGATTGATGTGAGCCACCTTGTGGGGAGTGGGGACCAAACCTGGTTTCTCTGTGAGAGTAGCAAATGTTGGGAACCTCTGAGCCATGCCTTCACCCCAACTTCTTTTAAAAATAGCATTGCTTTAGCACACTTTTATTTCTTTCCTGGAGTTAGTCCGGCTACCCTCAGTCCTGAGTGCTGTCCAAATGTGTTGATATTTAAGCAAAGTTTGAACAGATTCCATGAGTTGCCAAGGATTTCTTCACGGTTTTTAACTTATTCCTATTAACAGTTCCTGTCTCACTTGAGAGAGGAGGCAAGAATTTCAGCAGCCTTGGGATTAATTGCAATTAAAGATAATGGTGATGATAATGATAATGGTGTGTATGGGCGTGTGTGTGTGTGTGTGTGTGTGTGTGTGTGTGTGTGTGTGTGTGTGTGGTGGGTCAGGAAAGATAGGAAGCAGGGGACATGAAATCACTGTAATGTTTTTATCCAACCACTTGTCTTCTCTAGCATAGCTTGAACCCATTGGGAATGCATCTAAATGAGGTCATTGATTCAACTGTGACTTGCCTTCAGTGGACCACTGATGTCCTCGAGTTCTTTGCACATGGTGTGATTTCATGGCATGAGGAATAGATATGAATGAAGCTCCTGTGAGTGAGGTATTGCCAGGAGACTGGCTGTAAGTGGGAAAAGCCTGTAGCAGATGTCTATCAGAGAGAACTGGACTCACTCACCTGTTGGCCCAGGGCCTGGGTAATATCATCCAAACTTGGGAAGACTGCTAGGTCCATCTTGGCCAGGACACAGGCCATCTTACTAAACAGTTTAACTGCCAGGAGGGCCTTAAAGCAACAGGGCAGAAACATGGCATTCAGTCAGTCTCAGAGCTCACATCCCTGCTCCCTCAGGTGTCCACACCCTGCTAGTGTGACTGCAATGCAGAACATATCAGCATGCTGCACCCCGGATGCCAGAGCACAGGGCAGCATCAGGAGTGGGTGGTACTGAGCCCCGTGCTCTGCTGGGTATCAGGAGTGGGTGGTACTGAGCCCCGTGCTCTACTGGGTATCAGGAGTGGGTGGTACTAGGCCCTCTGTTACCATCTCCTCTGCTCCTGATGGTGAAGGCTTTCTCTCCTAGGATGTTCTGCAATGCTAGCATAAAGGTGTGTGTGTGCCTGACTGGGCAGATGGTAATTCAATGCAGTTGATCTTAAGGGCCTGGCCTGCTACTCAGCAGCTCAGTGGCCTCCCTGAGACTCAGTTTCGTTATCTGTAAGGCAGGAGGAATGGCCTTTCTTCCATGGAGTTGTCATGGAGATGAGGGGAGAGCTGAGATCCCCACTGCCTGGGAGAATGTTGTGTAAGTTGGAAAGGGCTCTCTGAAAACCCAGGGCAGTCGAGGCCTGCGTCACGACACTTGGATTCTAGAGCTAGGTCTGTCCTGGATGCCCCTTCCTTGTGGCCTATTATTTGTTCTTTCCTGGCTTAGATCAGAGCTGCAGTTTGATGCTGCTGGGTCTGGTTGAGCCCCAGGCACAGCTGTGAGAAACTAAGCCTCTGGCAATAGTTCTGCCTCCCTCGCGCCATCTAGTGGCCTACGGTGGAATATCGCTTTGAGGAAATTTTTACGAGGGTTTAGAGGTAATCAGTCTGTCGACTTGGAAGGATTCCGGGAATCTCCCTGGGAAAGTAAGAGTGGGGAGGTGAAGAGAGAGAAGGTGTTTGAGGAAGAGAACATGGCAAGAATGTGACACCTGGGTGAGGAGGGCCTGGGTCGCAAAGGGCAGAGTGAGAGTGTGGGTGTTGACTCAGGGTCCCACAAGGTAGAAGAGGCAGCTGTTGGAGCAGAACAATATCTCTGTGGTCACAGAACATTATTAGAGTTCCGCCAAGGCACTGGGGTTCTCTTCCTGATCATGCATCATCCTAATTGGTCTTACTCATGAACGAGAGGGTAGTTCACAGCAATATTCCTTTAGAAGTCACATTAAATATGGAATTCAGACAAAATAACTTCTACAGCAACCCAGTCTCAGAGGAGGACACTGAAGATGGAACAGCACTCTGGTCCATTTGGACCACACAAGTGTTCCTTTGGCATTGTAATAAGTGTGTTTCACAGCTTACATTCTTGTAGTTCACGATTCCATTCCATTCACTCAAAACGTTGGTGTCTTGGATGCTGACCATACATCGGAGGGCATCGACATGGATAGTCTGGGTCCCCACAGAGCCATCCAGAGGATGACTGTCACTGATGTTCTAGAAAAGATCAATCAACAGTGGAAAAGTCAGCGGCCCCAAGTGTCTACCTGTCTATCCCCTGTAGGATGAAGGGGAATCCACAAGAGATTATGGGAATGCCAACCTTGGCTGTTAGCTTTGAAATGTTTGTGCTAAAAGAGAGTCCTGCAGACTGGGCCCTCTCCACCATACTCACCATCAGGGCCAGAGAGGGAACTAGAAAGATGCTCACAAGGATGGAAGGTGCAATCTGAAATGGAACAAACATCAATGTGCTTTGTCCTTAGCCTCAGATGAGTTTAGACTCCAGAATCTGCCTTGCGGGACCGATCTTTCTAATGAGGGTCTACAGCTCTCACCTTTGCTCACCCCTAGAGGGCCCTGAGTGTGTCGGGAGACCACAGTGTACCGTGCTCCAACAGGGTGTGCCCACTGCTCAGGAGACAAAGCTTTGTCGGTCACTCAAGGATTCCTCCTGTGTGGCTTCCACTGGGTAGATTTAGCCAACCTTACAGACTCTGACCAGCACACAGGGCAGGACCAGCCCGGGCCACAATAGCTGGGGTGTCCACTCTTTCTTTCGGGACCATCCTCTCTACTTCTGTGGCTGGGCACACCCTCTGCTCCGGCTCCTCACCCCAAACCCCAAAGCTCACAGTTGGCCCTGCTCCATCCCCTGCCTACCCTCCAACCCTCTGGAGACTGACTCCTTTCAGATTTCCATTCCTCTGGATTCTCTTACCTTGTCTGAAAAGAAAAGATACTCACCACCATTTCCATGCTATTTTGTCTGGGAAATGATGTTAGAATGTATCTAGGCCTTAAAATATGTGAGTAGCTCATTTTCTCTGTGTGCCCTGCCCTGCCCATTGAGGGAATTCTCTGTATCAGACATCAATGAAAGAACTGGGGGCTAGGATAAGCTAGCCATAGTTTATCATGTACTTGAGGCTCACCCAGCTCAAGTGCACCCACCGTGTGGAGTGGAACAGACAGTTCTTCCCTCCTCTGTGCACCTGTGTGAAGTCTGCATTCAAGTTCAATAATAAAAGGCAGGCGACACCTCAGAGGCCAAGGAAATGGCTCTTCTACAATATCATTATCACCGCAGAGCAATGAGGTCTGCCATAGACGCAGGAGCTGCAGAGGGCAAGACTGCCTTATTGGACGATTGAAAGCTGGAGCATCATGCCTGCCTTTAATGCCAGCACTCAAAAGTGTGAGGCTAGTCACAAGGACTGCAAGGTAGCCTGGACCACAGAATGAGACCTTGTCTCAAAAAAAAATCTAAAGCAACAAAAACACACCATTCCAGTTGGTGTCATGTTTATCTGTCATTTTTTTCCCACCAGCAATTTGTAAAACAGAAACACGACTCTAGCCCTGAAAGAGTCCTGACTTTTTAAGAAATTAGCTGTTGATTCTGGTAGAAAACACCATTCACTCAGATTCTGCATGCCAAATCAGAGTTTGAAAATCTTCTTTGGGATGAGTTTGAAGAGTTCCTGGAGAGGGGAGAAGACCTCCTTGGCTGTTTTGACACATGCAAAATTAAAAATGTACTCACAAGGCATTTCATGTTGTCTCTCTTGGGCTTTATGCGCCAGCATGCATAATACGCTTTCCTACGCCCAGTTGACTTCCTAAGTCTGGTTTATATAGCTCTCAATCTCCCAGGTCTCACTATGATAAGGGACTTTGGGAGTAGTTATCCATGACCCAGAAACCATTAGGGGAAAAGCTAGTTACGTGATTAGAGTTATCAGTTCCCTTTACTACAGCTGAGTGTTTTTCTTTCTCCCAATAGCCCTACAGGTTCCAAGGCAAACACCAGATAAGAACAGGTCTTTGTGGCTGCCGTACTGGTGACCTTAGCCACTATGCAAGAAGTTGTCAGCAGCAGCAGATCCCACAAAATGCTCCTGATACCAAACCAAGACGCTCACCACTTTTACTTCTTGATTTCTGAAAAGTAGTTTTTCTTAAGAGTGAGGGCAGTTTAGAAGAAACCTCATAAAACCCCAAAAGACAGACTGAACTGCAGGGTTGGGTTGACTGACAAGCAGTCTGATCCGTCTCCAAACCGAGACTCCACTGTTGGTTCTGCACTGTTCTCTCTCCGCCAAGCTGGCCTCTGTTCATCGCTTCAACACCCCCTCTGGCAGATTTAGCTCAGGTCTCAAAGGACTCTCTGATGTTCAGTCCCTCTGCATGGCTTTTATGACTTTTGTCTTCATTTCAGGGTACTTTTCTCCATAAAAACAAAAGCCAAAACCCTGTTAACCAGCCCCAGAACTACTGAGACACGAGGCACTCTGACTTTCACACAGTCACACTGATCAGGGGTCTTCATGCATCATGTTCTCTCAAGCTCTGACAGGTGGTGGCCCAGAGACATCTGCATGAAATTCAAATTCCGTAAGGCCAGAACGAGTCAGACATTTCTTTCTTCGGAGAGGAGCATTTCACAGATGACCGTAGGCACCATCATGATCAGAGGGGCAGGCGGAGGGTGCAGTCCAGGCTGGGCTCAGTGCTGAGATAACACCATAATCCTAACTATAGTGTTCTCAGTACTTTAAAACACAACACAGCCCGCACACTCAGTCACCACCGAGTCACTAAAATAGATTAAAGGAGAGTGCAAGGAAATGCAATCCCATATGTTTATAAGTGCCATAGAACTTAGAAATCACCGCCACAGTCATGATTTCCGTTTCCTGTTGCCATCTGCACGGGTTAGGAGCAACAGTACTGTTAGCCATTTTGCAAACGAAGACAGATAAACTGTACCAACCAAGTTCAACTCCTGCCTCTGCACTAGCCAGATCTCTGAATGCATAGCTAAAATATGAGCTCAAATCTCTGGACTTCAAAGGCTCAAACTATATGCATTTCTCTCCAACTGCATTGCCCTTTGGAGTTCATTAATATCAAGCTGCAGATTGAAAAAGGGCAATGGAGCCAGGCAGCAGAGGGAGGCGAATCTCTGTGAGTTCGAGGCCAGACTGGTCTACACAGTGAGTTCTAGGACAGCTAGAGGCCAGAGCTACACAGAGAAACCCTGTCTTGAATAACCAAAGAAGTGGGGAGGGCAACAGTTCCACTTCTGTATCACCACCCAAGGTCTCCTGCTTTTAGAATTACTATGTGAACAACAAATTTTGTTGGAGTCTCTCTTCCTGAAAATGGGGACCAAAAGCCATTCAACAGGCAGCTAGTTACCTCCCCGCCATTATGCTAAGTCCAGTGCAAGGAGCAAAGAAACTAAATACAGGCAGCTGTGTCCTAAAGGGAGACCCAGCAGATGATCCCAAATGAGGTTCCATTCTGGAAAGACCCATTAGAGCACACCTAGACAGGGCTCCAGACGGGAAAAGAGACCCTAGTCCATAAAGAGATGTGGAGAAAGGGCCTCGGGGCATCAGAACACCATGCAGGGGCGGCAACTCCTGACCTTCTCCAGCATTCGTCATGAGAGGGGCTCCAGTTATGGGAGAGCCGGGGGTCTGGTAGTCATTTAATTTTCTCCTCAAATGTTCAGTGAGACCGCCTTCTGGGGTTTTACTCCCTAACTGATTGGAGTTGCTGTTGACTGATGGAACAAGATGTCTTCGCAATAAAATACTTCACGCAAGTGAAATTAATATAAGAGTGTTTATTAACTAAGTGATAGTTAAATATTGGCATTTCAGCTGGTGACTAAATAATGATCTAGCTGCATTCAGTCCTACAAAGGCCAGTAGCCACATGTCAGGAGGAGTAGCCAATCCTTTCAACCTTGGGCTCTTACTGAGCAATGATGTTCGCCAAGATAAAGTTTAGAAAGCACCTCCTTTTGAACTTGCAAACGATCTCTGAGTTGCCTCAAACTCTTCTAGTCCTCAGAATGATCTGGTTGCTGCTAGCCTTTTCCTGTTGTGGAATACTTGTTTAATTACTGAAAGATGTGGTTTATGCTGCATTTGTTTAACTATGCAAAAATGTGTTAATTTGTTTATGCTGCATTTACTTAATGATGTAAAGATGTGTTGCTTTGCCTGCCTACGGCACCTGATTGGTCTAATAAAAAGCTGAATGGCCAATAGCTAAGCAGTAGAGGGATAGGCGGGGCTGGCAGGCAGAGAGAATAAGTAGTAGGAGGAATCTAGGCTCAAGAGAACGAGAGAAAATGGAGAGAATGGGGGAGAATGAGAGGGTGACACCCCAGGTCCTTCCAGTCAAGCAGCCATCAGCCAGCCAGCCAGGGAGGAAGCAGGAAAGTGGGATACACAGAATGAAAGGAAGGTAAAAAGCCCCGAGGCAAAATGTAGATGAAGAGAAACAAGTTAATTTAAGTTATAAAAGCTAATGGGACAAGCATAACATAAAGCCGAGTGTTCTTAACTAATAATAAGTCTGTGTGTCGTGATTTGGGAGCTGATTGGTGGTCCAAAAGAAAGCCACCACATTTTTTTTTTTTTTGTCTCCAGCCTCTTTCTAGTTAATTGCATACACTAAGCACATCTGGCCCTCCGCTTCCCCATATTCGGCCCTGGCTTTCCTGGCTAGTCCTTGTTTGTGACTGGAGACACCGATTTCTTCCTTCTCTGCCTTCTTCAAGCCAAATTTGAATAGTCTCCTTTCCTCAGCCTTCCCACATTCCCAGCAAATATCTTCTTTGTAAACATAGTTCTCTGCCTGCAACTCTTGTTGTGTGTTTCCATTGAGTTTTATTTGTGTGTACGGTTGTGTAACCAGGTCATTAAATTGTATACCTATGTCACTGGACTGCCAACTCTATAAATTCAGGAATTTTGTTTTCTGGTATAAATGCAACATCAAGTATTTAGAGCAATACCTACCCCAGAGGAGATATTTGGGAATCTATAATGCTAATGGTTGAATAAATGGATTTTGTGTAAGATGTATTACCCATGTGTCCTCGTTAGTTTTGCTTTTTTTTTTTTTTTTTTTTAACTGTGGCACACACTAGAGCTATTTGGGAAGAGGAACCTCAATTGAGAAAATGCCCCATAAGACTGGCCTGGGGGCAAACCTATGCAGCACTTAGAGATTGTGGGAGGGTCCAGCCCACTGTGGGCAGTGCCACTCCTGGGCAGGTTGGATGGAATAAGAAAGCATGCTGAGCAAAACCTGGACAGCAAGTCAGTAAGCGGAACTCCTCCATCCTCCTCCACATCCGCGGCATCAGCTCCTGCCTCCGGGTTCTGACCCTGATGGAATTCCTGCCCTGACTTCCTTCAGTGGTGGATTGTGATGTGGAAGAGTAAGCGAAATGAACTCCTTCTTTCCCAAGTTGCTTTTGGTCACAGTGCTTTATCTCAGTAATAGAAACTCTAAGACACCATCTTTGTGTCTCCAGGAGTTTTTAGCAGTGTCTGTTAATAGAATGGAGCAAATATTTGTTTAAGTCAACGGCAAATAATGGAATTAATTATTTAATGACAGTGTGAACAAAGAGGGCAATTAAAATCTGAATATAACAGCCCTCTTTGTAGCCTCCAGCTACAGTTCAGTTAAGGCTACCTGAGCAACATCATTAGGATTTTTGTCTGTGGCCTTGCGGGCAGGAGGTGAAGGGGAAGGACAGGAAAGCCAGGGATCTGCAAAGCTGTTTGCCTTTTATCTTGCATCCTGGAGCCTTGGCAGGAGCCAGACTCCTTTGCCGGATCCCTGGTCCTGCTTGGTGTTTGCCCAGCGCACTTTGATCTTCTCCCCGATGCCCACACTGCCTGCTGCAACCCAGAACCTTCCTCATCTGTGCTCTGTCCTTTCTTTCCAGACTCAGGCTGGATGCTGACTTCGACATTGGCCTCTGCAGTGGTACCGATGCTGGTCTTCTCACCTTTGCGAACTGGTCCTCCCCAGTGAGGTTTTCCCATGCTATTCATGGGTTCGGCTCCCCAGTTCCTCATCAAGGAGGGGATGTAAATCTCCAAGCTGCCCTGTCACGTGGCCACCTGCACACTGCTTAGCTGTTTCTGTTTGAATGGGTTCTTTTCCCCACTGAGAGCGATGCACAGTGTATCTTGTCTTCATGCACATGCCGCTTGTTTTGTATTCCTGTTTCTATGCCCTCAGAAAGAAATAGTCGCCATGAAGCTCCTCCTCCCTCCCTCCAGACGCCTCTGGTAACTAGTATGCTTTCTGTCTCTAAGGGCTTGTTTATTCGGGAGATTCCATACAACTGGGACCCTGCACTCTGTGACTTTTGTGTCCAGGGTATTTCTCCTTAGTATGTTTTCAGTTCATCCACGCTAACATCCGCCAGTACTTCATTCATTCTGCAGTCAATATTCCTCTGTATGCATCACATCATCTGACAATGGGCATTTGATTGTTTCTGCCTTTGCCTTTGTGAATGGGGTTGCCCATTAGGGTACTTGCTTTTAATTAGTTTGGGTTTGTACACAGGAGTGTAATTGTTGGGTCATGTAGTGATTTTATGTTTAACTGCCCGAGACACCACCAAACTGTATCCATGATGTTGAACACCTTTATGTTACCACCAGTAACACATAAGGGCTTTAGTTTCCCCACATCCTCACCAACACTTGTTATGTTTAGGTTATAGCCTTTCTAATACACATGATGAGATGGCATCTTTGATTTGCATTTT